AGAAAATCTAAATAGACCTATCAGCAGCATAGAAATTGAAACAATCATCAAAAATCCACCGAAAAGTAAAAGTCCAGGACTAGATGGCTTCACCAGTCAATTCTACCAAATATTCAAAGATTTAATACCTATTATCCTCAAACTCTTCCAAAAAATCGAAGAGGAGGCAATACTTCCCAACACCTGTTGAGGCCAGTATATTACCCTGATACCAAAATATGGTGACGATAACACACAAAAAGAAAACTACAGACCAATATCTCTCATGAACACAGATGCAAATATCCTAAATAAGATACTAGCAAACCAAATACAGCAACACATTAAAAAGATTATACACCATGATCAAGTGGGCTTCAACTCAGAGGCATAGGGATGGTTCGACATATGCAAATTGATTAATGTGATACACCACATAAACAAATTAAAAAATAAGAATTATATGATCGTATTAATAGATGGAGAAAAAGCCTTCAACAAGATACAGCATCCATTTGTGATCAAAACACTTAACAAAATCGGTACAGAAGGAAAGTGCCTTAACATAAGAAAGGCCATATATGACAAACCCTCAGCCAACATTATATCTAATGGTGAAAAACTAAAAACCTTCCCTCTAAGATCAGGAACAAGGCAATGCTGTCCACTATCGCCACTCTTGCTCAGTATAACGTTGGAGGTCCTCGTTAGTGTAATCAGGCAAGAGAAAGATATAAAAGGCATCCAAATAGGAAATGAAGAAGTCAAACTGTCACTATTTGTGGATGACATGATTCTCTATATAGAAAACCCTAAAGACTTCTAAAGAACTACTAAAAACAGTAAGCAAATACAGTAAAGTTTCTGGATATAAAATGATGTTCAAAAATCCACAGTGTTCCTATACTCTAATAATGAAGTGTCAGAAAAAGAAATGGAAAAAATAATTTATTTTGCAATTGCAACGAAAAGAATAAAATAAATTCCTAGGAATAAATTTAATGAAACATGTGAAGGACCTATATAATGAAAACTATAAGACCCTATTAAAAGAAATCAAAGAAGAAGAATATACAAAGAAATGGAAAGTAATTCCGTGTTCTTGGATTGGAAGAATCAACATAGTTAAAATGACCTTACTATCTAAAGCATTATACAGATTTCATGCAAACCCCATCAAAATCCCATCATCATTTTGTAAAGAAATAGAACAAAAAATCATCAGATTTGTATGTAAGCACAAAAGACCCCAAACTGCCAAAGCTATCCTCAGAAAAAAGAACGAGGCTGGAGGCATAACTCTGCCCAACTTCAAATTATGCTATGAAGTGACAATAATCAAAATGGCATGGTATTGGCAGAAAAAAACACACAGACCAGTGGAAAGAATCGACAGTCCAGAAAGAAACCCATGTTTATGTGGGCAAATAATTTTCGACAAAAGAGCCAAAAAGAAAAGAAAGCCTCTTCAATAAATGGTGCTGGGAAAACTGAGAAGCAATCAGCAAAAGAATGAAACTAGACTGTTGTCTATCACCACACACCAAAATTAACTCAGAATGGATTAAGGACCTGAATATAAGACCTGAAACAATAAAGTGCATAGAAGAAAACAGAAGAACTAAACTCATGGTCCTTGGACTTAAAGAAGATTTTATGAGTTTGACCTCAAAGGCAAGGGAAATAAAAGCAAAAATAAATGAATGAGACTATATCAAACTAAAAAGCTCTGCACAGCAAAAGAAACTATCAACAGGTAAAGAGATGACCATCTGAATGGGAAAATATATTTGCAAGCAATGCCTCTGATAAGGGCCTAATATCCAAAATATACAAAGAACTCATACAACTCAATAACAACAAAAAAATGATCCAATCAAAAAATGGGCAGAGGATCTCAACAGACAGTTCTCTCAAGAAGATATACAAATGGCCAACATATGAAAAGATGCTCAACATTGCTAGCTATTACGGAAATGCAAATCGAAACCACAATGAGATACCATCTCACACCTGTTAGAATAGCTGTTATCAACAAGACAAGTATTAACAAATGTTGGAGAAGATGCAGAGAAAAAAAAGCCCTCATACACTGCTGGTGGGACTGCAAATTGGTACCCTCAGGCACTGTTGGTGAGACTGTAAATTGGTGCAGCCACTATGGAAAACAGTATGGAGTTTCCTCATAAAATTAAAAACAGACCCACCATAAGACCCAGCAATTCCATTTGTGGATTTTTATCCAAAGAATAATAAACACTAATTAGGAAATGTATATGCAGCACAATGTTTATTACAGAATTATTACAATAGCCAAGATATGGAAGCAACCTAAGATGAAAGAATAAAGATGTGGTACATATATACAATAACTATTACTCAGCAAAAAGACTGAAATCTTGCCATTTGTATTACGTACGCTAAATGAAATAAATCAGAGTAAGACAAATACCATGATTTCACTTATTTGTGGAATCTAAGAAACAAAGTAAAAAAATACAAAAACAAACTCATAGAGAACAAATTGGTGGCCGCCAGATGGGAAGGGGTCTACTGGGATGGGTGAAAAAGGTAAAATGGATTAAGATGTACAAATTGACAGTTACTAAAATAGTCACAGGGATATAAAGTACATCAAAGGGAATATAGACAATAATATTGGAATAACTATGTATGGAGTCAGATGGGTAATAGATTAATTCATAAGGTATATAAAAGTCCAATCACTATGTTGTACATCTGAAACTAATATGACTGTCACCTGTAAATGAAAAATAAATTTAAGAATCACACACACATATACACATACATACACACACATAAGAGAACATTTCCATTTCTCTCCCCATAAACTATAGTTGCTTGTACATTTTCCTAAATTTATTGAGAATGTGAGAATTATTTATAACACATATATATAAAAAGATTCTTTTCAGAGAATCTCAGCATCTTCAAAAAAGCAAATCGTACTCCTCTTTGAATGAGATTTAACAACTGTTAAGTTTCATAAATGAAACCACATTGAAAAACCACTTGCTTTGGACAGGCTAGTAATCATTTCAAAACCACCCATCCATATTTCAGATGAGGAAGGCTTGTATTAAATTCAAGTCTTGCTTTCCCTCTTAAGTATTTACTGTGTAAAACACCTTCTATCTAAATATGGCTAGAGTAGGAATGTGATGAGTTAGCCTTCAATAGCTACTAGTTACCAGGCCTTGGGCAGGTCACTTGGCCTTGCAGACCTCAGCTTTTTCCTTCCTGACAAGAGATAGACATTTGGTAGAAACAGCTTCCCCAACCAGAACTTAAAGTCCAAAACAACAGAGGTGTTTTGTTTTCTCTCTACTATTATATTCTCTACTGTATACCTAGAACAGCACCTAGGACATGGTAGAAGCTCAGCAAATGTTTGTTAAATGTCTATTAATAAAGCCTGACCTCACAGAGTTGCAATGATTAATAAATAGAATTGAAAGTAGTTTCCAAACTAAAAGGAATCACAGAATAAAGAATTATTATTTTTATTAGTGATGTACCTCAAAGAAAAGCTGTTTTTAATGTCAGCATTAAAGAGAATTAGAACAGCAAAACCTAAATGGAATTAATCTTCTATGCCTCTATGATCCCAGGCACTTTGCTCTTCTCTCCATCAGTACGTTTTCTTATGGCTAACACCATTTTCTGAACGCTCTGAATTCTTAGGACAACTCAATAAAGCAGGTACTAGAAGGAGACCCATTTTAAACATGAGGGAAGTGAAGCTTGGAGATGAAGAAACTTATTGGAGGCTGCATGGGTCTCTAAGCAGCAGACATTATTCCAGTTTCAGTCTGACTTCTCATACAGACAGTTGTATGCAACAGCAGGCTGCACAGCCTCTTTCCCAACACCATGATAAATAACTTGACACCCCACTGAATTCTGCATTACAGTTAGTGGAATTGGTCAAATATCCGGATTTTGAAAAACACTGATTGTAAACATATCTTGTTTGGAAAACAGTTTCTATCAAGTGCCAGAGAGAGAACACATAACTTTGATTCAGTATTTCCCATTTGGGAATTTATTCCAAGGAAAGAAAAGGCTGTATACTCACTCAATAATAGTCACTCACTGCACGATTTAAGAGGAAGAACACTGGATACATGGAAAGGTTCCATAATGGAGTAGTTAAGTAAAACTCTAAATATATAATCAATATTTTAAAAACTGTAAATATTCGGAACTATGTAAAAGTGCTGTTAGTGAATAAGAGCAGCATAGAGTCTCTAATCAAAACTGTGTAATAATGGTACAGCCCAGGACAGGGCAAGAATACAGACAAGGGTATGTATGACTCAGTGGGTTTCATAATGTGGGATTAATTTTTATTTGTGCATCTAAATTTTTTTAACTTTAGAAATCACGCTTCCTCATGTCCCAAATTCCCATACCGCATTTCTTTTGTTTCTTACAAAAAGCTAAACACCCAAACTGCTTCAACATTAAAATGAAGGAAAATCTGTCATTAATGTAATATATTGGGGAAAAACGTTTTAAAGCAGAATATCTAAAAATTACATCGAAGTCTTCCCTCAACCTCTGCTGGGTGAACTCTTGAGTGGCATAAAAACATCGTTTGGGGGTGGTATAGAAATGTCCGCGATTAGCAAGGCCAGTCAAATTAAAATTAGAGGCCCTGTCGGATGGGGAATCGGTGATGACAGAGTTTGAGGCTTGTTTAGTTGCCCAGCCGTAGGTCCCATAATCAGGGCTTAACATCGGCGCCAGAAGAGGGGTAGCCCCCAGGCCTCGCGCCAGGCCCAGGCCCCGCGGACCCGGACAGGAGAGGAGGGAGGGAGGAAGCAGCGGCGGTGGCGAGGCCGAGGGTCTCCGGGCTGCATTCCCTAGCCGCCGCCCTGAGACCGCGACCCGTCCACCAGCCGGCGCCGAGGGACTCCCCGCCCCTTGCACCTGCGTCCCCAATGCGGAGCCCGCTGGTCCACGCCGCCACTCGTTGCTGGCCCCCGCCCGCCTACCTGGCCCCGACCCCAGCCCTGGCCCCGTCGCAGCCTCGGCTGTTGAAGGAAGAAAGGACCGGGTCTCCAGGCGACGTCTCTTAAGAGCAAAATGGCGACTCCATGCGCAAGTAGGACGTCTGCAGAGACTGCGAGGCCTGTGGGCGGGGCCGCAAGCGAGGCAGGGGGCGGGGCCAGGAGCTGGAACGGCTGAGGCACCTGGCTCCGGGCTGTGGGCGTGGCCCGCCGGGAGAAAGGAAAGGCGCTTTCTGGCCTGGCCTGAGAGGGGGCACAGGCTAGCGCAAGGGGTGGGGAGATGGGCGGGGCCGTGCCTCATTGCCCGCGATGCTGCTAACCCCACGACAGCTGTGAAAGCGAAAGGCAGGTTTCAAGGAATTTGAGTGTGCACTGAGTATGATGTTTGGAATTACAAATGTCTGGGTTCAAGTTTTCAGTGGCCTGTAACCTTGGGCACAGTCACTTCTCTCTGAGACTCTATTTCCTCACTTGAAAAATAGATATGATAGTACCACCCATCTCATAGGGTGGTTGTGCCGATTAAATGAGGTAACACCTGCAGAGCTTTCAGCAGTTCCTGGCATATAATAAACGCTCAGTTATTATTATTGTTTACTTTATTGCCCTTTCTTCTTTTATTATAAAGGAATTGTGCTTTTGATATCTATTGCATGAATTCTTTATAATTTAAGTATGTTTACTCTTTATTATATTTGTAACATAATAATAGCAAACACATATGTAGCACTTACCCTGTGTCAGGCCAGGTTCTCTTAAGTGCTTACCATCTGTTAAGCGTAACAAGAGTATGAGGCAGGTATTATTGTTATTTCCATTTTAATAGTTGTGAGAATTGAGACACCGACGTTAAATAACTTGCCCAATGACAAAGTGGACAAGAATTTCAATCCAGACTGCCTGCACCAACGTCTGTACTAGGCTAACCCCTATACTGCACTGCAACTCCGATTCTGTTTTTGATTTTTCACAAGAGTGAGGTATGACGTAATTCATCTGTGGTTGTGCAGCTAGCTAGAAGCAGCCAGTCCTCAAAGTCCAACCTTGTGCTTCCTTATTTTACAGTTGAGGAATACAAGCATCTCAATTCATGAATTATAGTTTAGGTGATACGTCAAGAAATGAAGTCATTTAAGATATTTCCTTTGCCTAATAACTATATAGGAACACACCTCTGCAAAGAAATAGGCCTCCGAGCCCACTGATAAATTCGCGTGACAAAATTGAATCCCTCCCAGCGGAATTTTGTTGGGTTTACTTCACTTCTACGCTCTGATCTAACTCCGGACCCACCCCACCTACCCGCTTTGCTGGCTTTGGCTCCACAATGCACACATGTAAGCATGTGATTGTATCTGACCAATCAGAGGAACTCATCCCTTTCAGCTCGCTGATTCCCTCCAAGGAGCCAATCAAAGCATACAAGACACAGTCTCCCGCAGAGTATAGAGCTGTGCCTTAGAGGCTTGCTCTTCTGCAGCGCCTGTCAGCATACCAGGAGGGGAACCGCAGAGAGATGCTGAGACAGGGAGAGGGAAAGATATAGATGGGCCCAGTTGAATTTAAGCTTGAAGTCAGTAGGTCCCTGGAGTTTTCAATTACGGGAGCCAGTAAAGTCCTCCCCTCAACTCTCTGAAGCCACTGTGAATTGTGTTTCTATCATTGGCCAGTTCTCTCCCTTCTCATTGTTCTTTCTCACCAGCCTGGTCCTCCATTCCTGAACTATAGGGCCCTGGCACATACCGTGCCTACCTCTAGAAATGCACTCCCTCCTGCAGTCCTCTCCCCCATTAACTCCTACTTAAACTACTCTCAGCTGAATCGTCATCTTCAAGTCTTCCTTAAATCACTCCCACCCTCCCCCAAGAAACCTATTTCCTGTACTTTTCCTTCATTAAGCTTATTATGGTTGCTAATTATTGCTATTTATGTATTTATTTGGATGATTGTTTTATAAATATCTTCATTGACTACAAGCCCCATGCAAGCAGGCCCTTTGTCTATTCTGCTGATCACTGTTTCCCAATACCCAGCACCTTGCCTGGCACGAGTATGATACTCAAGAAATGTCTGTAAAATTAGGGATCTCGGAATTACCCCCTCCAAGCACAGAATTATTCAGGCATACCTCGTTTTACTGTGCTTCACTTTATTGTGCTTTAAAGATATTGCTTTTCTTTTTTTACAAATTAAAGGTTGGTGGCAACGCTGCATAGAGCAAATCTATCTGTGCCATTTTCCCAACACCATTTGCTCATTTTGTGTCTCTGTGCCATATTTTATTAATTCTCACAAATTCTAACTTTTTCATTATTATTATATTTGTTATGGTCATCTGTGATCAATGACCTTTGATATTACTATTATATTGTTTTGTGGCACCAGGATCCATGCCCATATAAGATGGCAAATTTAGTTGATAAACATTGTGTGTGTTCTGACTGCTTCACCATCCAGCCATTTTCTCTCTCATCTTGAGCCTCCTTATTCCCTGAGACACAACAACATTGAAATTAGGCCTTACGATGGCTTCTAGGTGTTCAAGTAAAAGAAGAGTCGTACATCTCTCACTTTAAATCAAAAGCTTAAATATTTGCTTAGGGAGGAAAGCATGTTGAAAGTCAAGACAGGCCAAAAGTTTGGCCTTTTGCACAAAGCAGTTAGTCGAGTTGTGACTGCAAAGGAAAAGTTCTTGAAGTAAATTAAAAGTGCTACTCCAGTGAACATAAAAATAATAAGAAAGTGAAACAGCCTCATTGCTGATGTGGAGAAAGTTTTAGTGGTCGGGATAGATGATCACCAGCCACAACATCCTCTTAAGCCAAAACCTAATCCAGAGCAAAGCCCTAACTCTCTTCAATTTTGTGAAGGCTGAGAGAGGTGAAGAAGCTGCAGAAGAAAAGTTGGAAGCTAGCAGAGTTTGGTTCATAAGGTTTAAGGAAAGTCGGCGTCTCCATAACATAGAAGTGCAAGGTGAAGCAGTAAATGCTGATGTAGAAGCTGCAGCAAGTTATCCAGAAGATCTAGCTAAGATGAAGGTGGCTACACTAAACAACATATTTTCAATGTAGACAGAACAGCCTTATATTGGAACAAGATGCTATCTAGGATTTTCTTAGCTAGAGAGAAGAAGTCAATGCCTGGCTTCAAAGCTCCAAATGAAAGGCTAACTCTCTTGTTAGGGGTTAATATAGCTTGTGACTTTAAGTTGAAGCCAGTGCTCATTTATCATTTCAAAAATCTTAGAGCCCTTAAGAATTATGCTAAATCTGTTCTGCTTGTACTCTGTAAATGGAACAAAGCCTGGATGACAGTACAACTATTTAAAACATGGTTTTCTGAATATATTAAGCTCATTGTTGAAATCTACTACTCAAAAAGGTTTCTTTCAAAATATTATTACTCACTGACAATGCACCTGGTCACCAAGAGCTCTGATGGGTATGTACAACAAGATCGATGTTTTCATGCCTTCTAACACATCATCCACTCCGCAGTCCATGGATTGAGGAGTAGTTTTGACTTTTAAGTCTTATTATTGAAAAAAATACATTTCATAAGACTATAGCTACCATACATAGTGATTCCTCTCATGGATCTGAGCAAAGTAAATCGAAAACATTCTAGAAAGGATTCACCATTCTTGATGTCATTAAGAACATTCATAATGCATGGGAAGAAGTTGAAATATCAACACTAATAGGAGTTTAAAAGAAATTGATTCCAACTCTGATGAATGACTTTGAGGGATTCAAGAGTCCAGTGGAAGGAGTAACTGCAGACGTGGTGGAAATGCCAAGAGAACTAGAATTAGAAGTAGAATCTGAAAATATAACTGAATTGCTGCAATCTGATAATAAAACTTTAACAAATGAGGAGTTATTTCCTATGGATGAGGAAAGTGGTTTCTTGAGATGGAATATACTCCTGGTGAAGATTGTTTAAAGGATTTATACTATTACATAAACATGGTTGATATAACAACAGCAGGATTTGAGAAGACTAACTCCAATTTTGAAAGAAGTTCTATTGTGGGTAAAATGCTATCAAATAGCATCACCTGCTACAGAGAAAGAATTTGTGTAAAGAAGAGTCAATCAACGCATCAAACTTCATAGTCACCTTATTTTAAGATGTTACCACAGCTACCTCAACCTTCATTAATCACCACCCTCCCTGACCAGTCAGTAGCCATCAACATGGAGGCAAGACCCTCCACCAGCAAAAAAGAACAAAAACTGTGACTCATTGAAGGCTCGGATGATGGTTAGTATTTTTCAGCAATAAAGTATTTTTAAATTACAACATATACATTGTTTTTTAGACATAATGCTCTTGCACTCTTAATAGTCTACAAGATAATGTGACCATAACTTTTATATGCCCTGGGACACCAAAAAATTTGTGTGACTCACTTTATTGTGATATTCACTTTATTGCGGTGGTCTGGGACCCAAGCCACAATATCTCCAAGGTATGCCTGTATAGTATTTACACCACACAGAGACAATATTTCTAAAATTTTATAAATTGGTTCTAGTGATCCAGTATGAGCTAGCTCCTGCATATCACTGCTTCCAGGGTTTTGCGGAAAAATGGCTGGTTCTTCATCAGTTTCTCCTCTCTGCAGACGGTTAGCTTGTAATTTCCTTTGTTTTCTTATATCAGATACCACTTTTCCACCCACCTTCCATTCTCCAAAGATTCTTTTGAAATCTGTCTTAATCTGATGTCTCATTTCCCATTCTCCTTATCCATGCGATTAAGGCCATGGAAGTAAGCCGTGATGGACATCCAGTCCAGACAACGCACCAATGACTGCAGCCCCAGCCACCACCCACCTGCAACTGTATTTGAGATCCCAAATGAGAACCGCCCAACTGAGCCAGTCAAACCACAGAAAATTGAGAGATGATAATAAAATTTTGTTATAAGGCACTGAGTTTGAAGATGTTTTGTTACACAGGTATGAGCAAGAAAGAAGCAGACCGGGATTTAAAGCCTGTGGTCAGTTCCATTCCAATGCAGTTTTTGGTTAGTCTGTTGCTACGCTCGATAATCCCTTGCCTATTTTCAGTTTTCAAACTCTTTGCATAATATGGAAGTGTTCAGCTTGCCTGCACTGCATCATTGACCATATTCAAGGGCCAAACCGCTGCACTTAGAATATGAATTATGATGCCCAAGCT